GATTTTCCTTAGCCAAAAGTGCACGTCCCATAGACTTGAAATTGAATGTGCATGCATGTTCCTCTGGGTACCTATGAATCCTGCAAAATATTCCACCACACTTATAACTAAACCCTACTAATCCCACCTTCTTTATACAACTATTGCACCTTTCTGTCTCCGTATTCATCGTCAAACCATCGTCATTTTCAGTTTTAACAGTATCATCAACAGTAAGAAAATATAACTTTTCAGATAAAGCTATTGCACTCTTGGCGGATTCTTCTTTCAAGAAAGCTTTATAGAATTGGGAACAAATGTTGTGGTTGCTTGGGTTACCATAGAAGCCACAACCCCTTGCGCATAAACTTGAGTTTTTTGCTTTGTCACAAGAAGTCATTCTTTTCCCTTTGAAAGAATTAATTTTCTTCTAATAGATTGAAGCAACTTATCACTTGTAGTAATAGTGTTTGTGTTTCCCCAATTTGAACACGGGAAATATCTTGTTTGAGGAAAGTCGTTCTCCCGTCTCAAGCCTTCTTCAATTTCATTTTCAATTATTGTTTTCCTAAAATAAAATGCCCCCACAGACAAAAAAAGGAGAAACTAATATAGGAAAATGAGATCGTTGTAGCTTCATTCACCATGTACTCGTAAATAGTATATATGACCTTAATAAAAATATTCTCAAACGGGAACTGCAACTTTACATTATTTGGTATTAATAAAAACAAAAGCAATAGACTTAAAATTGAATGCCTTAGATCCTATACTCAAGTTTATCTGATTTGCAAAGAGGATTTTTCTTAGCCAAAAGCGCACGTCCCATAGACTTGAAATTGAATGTACATGCATGTTCCTCTGGGTACCTATGAATCGTGCAAAACATTCCACCACACTTATAACTAAACCCTACCAATCTACCTTCTTCTTACAATTCTTGAACCTTTCTGTCTTTGTCTTCATCGTCAAACCATCGTCGTTTCCAGTTTTAACAGTATCATCAACAGTAAGAAAATATAACTTTTCAGATAAAGCTATTGCACTCTTGGCGGATTCTTCTTTCAAGAAAGCTTTATAGAATTGGGAACAAATGTTGTGATTGCTTGGGTTACCATAGAAGCCGCAACTCCTTGCGTATAAACTTGAGTTTTCTGCTTTGTCACAAGAAGTCATTCTTTTTCCTTTGAAAGAATTAATTTTCTTCTAGTAGATTGAAAAAACTTATCACTTGTGGTAATAGTGTTTGTGTTTCCCTAATTTGAACACGGAAAATATTTTGTTTGAGGAAAGTCGTTCTCCTGTCTCAAGCCTTCTTCAATTTCGTTTTCAATTATTGTTTTCCTAAAATAAAATGCCCCCACAGACAAAAAAAGGAGAAACTAATATAGGAAAATGAGATCGTTGTAGCTTCATTCACCATGTACCCGTAAATAGTATATATGACCTTAATAAAAATGTTCTCAAACGGAAACTGCAACTTTACACTATTTGGTATTAATCAAAACAAAAAGAATAGACTTAAAATTGAATGCCTTAGATCCTATACTCAAGTTTATCAACTTTGCAAAGAGGATTTTCCTTAGCCAAAAGCGCACGTCCCATAGACTTGAAATTGAATGTGCATGCATGTTCCTCTGGGTACCTATGAATCCTGCAAAATATTCTACCACACTTACAACTAAATCCTACTAATCCCACCTTCTTCTTACAACTAATGCACCTTTCTGTCTTCGTCTTCATCGTCAAATCATCGTTGTTTCCAGTTTTAACAGTATCATCAACAGTAAGAAAATATAACTTTTCAGATAAAGCTATTGCACTCTTGGCGGATTCTTCTTTCAAGAAAGCTTTATAGAATTGGGAACAAATGTTGTGGTTGCTTGGGTTACCATAGAAGCCGCAACCCCTTGGGCATAAACTTGAGTTTTCTGCTTTGTCACAAGAAGTCATTCTTTTCCCTTTGAAAGAATTAATTTTCTTCTAATAGATTGAAGCAACTTATCACTTGTAGTAATAGTGTTTGTGTTTCCCCAATTTGAACACGGGAAATATCTTGTTTGAGGAAAGTCGTTCTCCCGTCTCAAGCCTTCTTCAATTTCATTTTCAATTATTGTTTTCCTAAAATAAAATGCCCCCACAGACAAAAAAAGGAGAAACTAATATAGGAAAATGAGATCGTTGTAGCTTCATTCACCATGTACTCGTAAATAGTATATATGACCTTAATAAAAATATTCTCAAACGGAAACTGCAACTTTACATTATTTGGTATTAATCAAAACAAAAGCAATAGACTTAAAATTGAATGCCTTAGATCCTATACTCAAGTTTATCAGCTTTGCAAAGAAGATTTTTCTTAGCCAAAAGTGCACGTCCCATAGACTTGAAATTGAATGTGCATGCATGTTCCTCTGGGTACCTATGAATCCTGTAAAACATTCCACCACACTTACAACTAAACCCTACTAATCCCACCTTCTTCTTACAAATCTTGCACCTTTCTGTCTTCGTCTTCATCGTCAAACCATCGTCGTTTCCAGTTTTAACAGTATCATCAACAGTAAGAAAATATAACTTTTCAGATAAAGCTATTGCACTCTTGGCGGATTCTTCTTTCAAGAAAGTTTTATGGAATTGGGAACAAATGTTGTGATTGCTTGGGTTACTATAGAAGCCGCAACCCCTTGCGCATAAACTTGAGTTTTCTGCTTTGTCACAAGAAGTCATTCTTTTTCCTTTGAAAAAATTAATTTTCTTCTAGTAGATTGAAGCAACTTATCACGTGTAGTAATAGTGTTTGTGTTTCCCCAATTTGAACACGGAAAATATCTTGTTTGAGGAAAGTCGTTCTCCCGTCTCAAGCCTTCTTCAAATTCGTTTTCAATTATTGTTTTCCTAAAATAAAATGCCCCCACAGACAAACAAAGGAGAAACTAATGTAGGAAAATGAGATCGTTGTAGCTTCATTCACCATGTACTCGTAAATAGTATATATGACCTTAATAAAAATGTTCTCAAACGGAAACTGCAACTTTACACTATTTGGTATTAATCAAAACAAAAGCAATAGACTTAAAATTGAATGCCTTAGATCCTATACTCCAGTTTATCAGCTTTGCAAAGAAGATTTTCCTTAGCCAAAAGTGCACGTCCCATAGACTTGAAATTGAATGTGCATGCATGTTCCTCTGGGTACCTATGAATCCTGCAAAATATTCCACCACACTTACAACTAAACCCTACTAATCCCACCTTCTTCTTACAACTATTGCACCTTTTTATCTTCGTATTCTTCGTCAAACCTTCGTCGTTTTCAGTTTTAACAGTATCATCAACAGTAAGAAAATATAACTTTTCAGATAAAGCTATTGCACTCTTGGCGGATTCTTCTTTCAAGAAAGCTTTATAGAATTGGGAATAAATGTTGTGGTTGCTTGGGTTACCATAGAAGCCGCAACCCCTTGCGCATAAACTTGAGTTTTCTGCTTTGTCACAAGAAGTCATTCTTTTCCCTTTGAAAGAATTAATTTTCTTCTAATAGATTGAAGCAACTTATCACTTGTAGTAATAGTGTTTGTGTTTCCCCAATTTGAACACGGGAAATATCTTGTTTGAGGAAAGTCGTTCTCCCGTCTCAAGCCTTCTTTAATTTCGTTTTCAATTATTGTTTTCCTAAAATAAAATGCCCCCACAGACAAAAAAAGGAGAAACTAATATAGGAAAATGAGATCGTTGTAGCTTCATTCACCATGTACTCGTAAATAGTATATATGACCTTAATAAAAATATTCTCAAACGGAAACTACAACTTTACATTATTTGGTATTAATCAAAACAAAAGCAATAGACTTAAAATTGAATGCCTTAGATCCTATACTCAAGTTTATCAGCTTTGCAAAGAGGATTTTCCTTAGCCAAAAGCACACGTCCCATAGACTTGAAATTCAATGTGCATGCATGTTCCTCTGGGTACCTATGAATCCTGCAAAATATTCCACCACACTTACAACTAAACCCTACTAATCCCACCTTCTTCTTACAACTCTTGCACCTTTCTGTCTTCGTTTTCTTCGTCAAACCATCGTCGTTTTTAGTTTTAACAGTATCATCAACAGTAAGAAAAGATAACTTTTCAGATAAAGCTATTGCACTCTTGGCGGATTCTTCTTTCAAGAAAGCTGTATAGCATTGGGAACAAAGGTTGTGATTGCTTGGGTTACCATAGAAGCCGCAACCACTTGCACATAAACTTGAGTTTTCTGCTTTGTCACATGAAGTCATTCTTTTCCCTTTGGTAGTAATAGTGTAGTTAGCTCTTCTCAATATTGACAAGTGCAGCTGATGTTGTATTTGCCGTTAATATATAGAGGAAGCTTGTAATCCAAATTAAGATCGAACTAGGACTTTCCTAATTTAATATCCCTACCCTCCTTTTGTTTGGTTTTTGGTTGAGAATGTTACTAATATTTGGAAATCCTTGCCCGAAAGAGATTAGGACAATAGTTAGTGGGGTCGATCAAAAACTTTGGCCTTCTTTAATATGGAATGTCGTTTATATCGTTATTTAACTTGGCCTAATTGTTAGTATATTTTGTTGTGAGTTTAATAGGGACCTTCGGGTAATTTTTTACTTGTCAAGATTATTGCAAATAGTTTCATTAAAGATAAAAAATTTTGGAATTGTAAATTTAAATAATGAAAAATGAGTTACGATCACATAAAAAAGTTGGTATTCCCAATGGAAATCAAATTGGGACTTCCCTAATTTTTTTTTTTTCGGGTCGTTTCCTAATTTTAGTCTGGTAAACTGCTTGGTATTGACTTCTGTTCCCTCGGCTTCCTCTTCTATTTGGTTTTGGTATCGGTCCTTCCCCAACACAAATGAGGGAGAAATTCATAATTAGCCTGATTTATAATTGCCAATTGAAAATTAGTTATAATTTCAAAATTATTTAAAATTTAACTATTTTTTATGCGAAAATAAAATCTGAATAAAAGTATAAATCTGGTTTGGTCTTTCAGCTTATCATCCGCCTATATAAAAATATAATATTCAAATTTTCTAAGATTTCATTATTTTCTAATTCTTTTACATAGGAAAATATTTTCCTACAGTATTTATGAAACTTTTAAATATAAATGTCTTTTGAGAATAATAACGGGGAAGTTATATATTTGACCTGTCGGTCAAAAATAATTATATTCACTAGCCAATAAACAAAAATACACTGATTATGTATAAAAATATGTATATTTTTTTGTATATTATGCATTGATATACAAAATACAGACATTTTGTCGACTATTATTTTATAGAGTAGCTATATTGTGCAGTTTTCCAACAATAACTTGATCATCTTCTTGCTTCATTCTTAATATTATCCAAATACACATTAACTATAGCAATTATCACTACTAGAAAATTGCCAAATTTCGTCTACCAAAACCGATCAAAATCGGTCGGAATTAAAGGAAAAGTGATCGATTTCTGACCGCTTTTAATTTGTCGGAACATTAATAGTCGCTAAGGTGTTGCGACTGACAGCGGTCGCACTTTTCCGACAGAAGTCGGTCGGTTAATTCAACCATTGGTTGACCGCTTTGGCTGACAAGTTTTGTTGGAAAAATAAATACACCGACCGAAGTCGGTCGGTATTATTTTAATTATTTTTTATTTATTTTTCACAATAGCGACTGACTTCGGTCGGAATTATAAATATATAATTATTTTATATTTCTTCGTAAATTTTAACAGACCGACCGAACTCGGTCGGAATAATAAAAAAATAAAAAAAGTTATTTCTGACTGACTTCGGTCGGAAATTTCAAATATCTGCAGATTTCAAATTGAACTTTACGACCGACTTCGGTCGGAAATTATGAATTTCGGAATAAATAAATAAATAAATAAAGTTATTTCCGACCGACGTCGGTCGGAAATTTCAAATATATACAGATTTCAAATTGAAATTACCGACCAACGTCGGTCGAAAATTATGAATTTTTGGGTTTTAATATGAGAATTCCGACCGAAATCGGTCGGTTTTCTGGGTAAAAACCTGGTAGAATATGCTTGCTTTTAAGCTACACCACCTGCCAATTATAACCAATATCCATCCTATAATGGCAGCATTACATTGCTGCCATTCAACCACAATTAACTAACAACAACAACAACCACAACAACAACGCTAATAACCACAACCACAACAACAATGCTAATAACAACCACAACAACAACAACAATGCCAACCACAACAACAACTATACAAATGTTCAATAACAAAATAATATCAACAACACAATCATCATTCAAAACTATTCCCAACTAAATATTCACAAGTTCAAGACTTTGTTTAGCAATACACACATTCAATGAATGTTTTGTATTGCATCATTTCCATCTTCACTACTAGAAGCTTCATCGTCGGCATGGTTCGAAGGATCACGATGAAGGATTAGCATCTGGGGAAGATTCACGAGACCGGGGAATGAGGAAAGCACCACTAGCAAGAAGATTGGCTAGCTCACCTTGAAGGAGATTAAATTGTTGGTCCCTCTTTTCTAGTTGAACTTGAAGGGTATCATATTATTCATCTCTCTTTTGTTCTCTAGCCTTTGTCTCTTCAAGCTCTGCTATCAGCTTTGCGATCTTCTTCTCCATAGACAAGAGAGTCGACATATCAATTGCCTCGCCTTGGGCGGAAGTCCCTATACGTTGCAATCTAGCCCTGTAGCACCTAAATGATCTCTCTGGAAGGCCGTATGCTATCCCCTTTTTAGGACCACCGACAACATCCAACCATATCTTCTGTGCTTCTTGGTCTGAAATGGGTGGTCGCTCGCCTTGCTCATTCGGTGGCAAGCTCTGAGTGTACTCCTCCACATTAATTTTGTAGCGACCCTTTATTTAGAAGATAGAAAATTATTAGCTATATAATATTATAAAT